TGGCTGAATATCTGCTAGTGGTTAAAACATTTTTGATGATGTGATGGTGAAATGAAGGACTAGGATTATACCATCACGTTAAAAAAAGGGAGGGGGGGGGGGCTTTTTAATGGAAACCCCAAGTTATTTCCGAGGTGAGAGGTGTAATTAATTAGTCAACAACACTTAATTATTACAGCTCTACGAGGAATAATTATTTTTATTTCAAAAGCACGTTTATGTATGGGAGGGAAGGAGGGCATGCCCTGAGTGGCCTGTGTGAGTCAATGATTGTCAGAAATATGGCCACTAGACTCAATTAACATAAAGATTACCTTATTTATGTAAAAATAAGTAGAAATCATAATTGATCCAAACTGTCATTTAACAAGATGCGTGCGTGCGCGCGCGTGTGTGTGTGGAGGGGGGTCTCAACATGTGACATTGAGGGGGAGGAGGAGGAGAGGAGGAGGAGGAGTGAAACGAAGCAAAGCAGAGTACGAACAGCAGGCAGAAACAGACGGGGGTGCTGGTTAACTTTGTTTATTTGCATGGGTTGTGGTAGTAAACAGAGGTGCCAGTGTTAGTTTTCCCTCTCCCTTAAGCCTCGGTTGTTTTTTAACCCGCCTGACTCTGTCTGAGTTAATGTTAGTTAGCTGTCTGACATTAGCTCCTGTTATTAGCCTGCTGGTTACTTCCAACTACTTATCAGCACCCGATCGATCCGGGACGAGACTGTTTTCGTCACTTATTGGTTTTAACTGGTCGTCGTAGCAGAGACGTCACTGGAACCAGCGGCACTACTGGGAGAGGTGAGTTAACTTTGTAGCTAGGGAGTGTTTTTACACGGGCAAAAAACGGTAATGTGAGCTACGCTAGCAGCTAAAGCTAATGGTTCTCAGTCAAAATCAAGGTTAGTAGCTAGCGGAGTTCTGCCTGCTGACAGACAGGAGCAGCTCGTGTAAGCTGTAAAAACTAATGTATTTTATTCGTTTTTTCATTTATCAAATACTTCTATCCAGTTAGTCCCGTGAGTGACTCATACACGATCCTCAAATGGAGCAGACACTTCCGAGAACCAGTGTGACAGGTTGTCGTACTAGTTTCAGCAGCACTCCTAACATCTGCTGCTTTATTCCTCGAATCCTAAAAAAAAAGTAACACTTTTTGTCTTGGATTTTCTTATTCTGTAACCTCATTACTCAACTTAAAAAGCTAAGCTCGCTGGGTGTTTTCCTCTTTACCCAAAACATCAATATGTGGACGGATTAATCCACAAGGGGGCCCCGAGGGTAAAACTATTACCCCACTCGCTCTTAAAGCCCTCTGCTCCACTGCCTCCGCCTGCTCAATGTGTACACAGTGCATGCACCCTTTCCTCGCACAGCGAATCAGCAAGAGCACCCTACCATGAAACCGAAGCAAACAAAAATACAGATGTCTCCAAGCTGCTGCTGCAGACATCCTCAGCAAAAAACAAGACCAAAGAGCTTTTAGTTGGGATCCCGATATGATTCATACACATTTAGTCACCTCAACCCCTGATTTATTTCAAGGCTGTGGTTTTAAGGAGAAATTTGCTTTCAGGGCACAAATTATGAAAAGTAACGGCTTTATTTTTGCTTTTGCTGGTTGATATTGTGCAATAAATTACTAATCTTTTACCCATCAGGCTTTAGAATCCAATCAAACAGACCTAAACTGTTCATTTTTTGATTCTTTCAAAATATATTCTGAGTAAATTAGTTTGAATCCTCAAACCTGACCGTTTCCTGTTATTTAGAGCTTGTGTCCAAACTTTGGGCTTCAAGGCTCTAACAGTGTTGTGCTTCTGCTAGTCTCTTCCAGTTGGGCCCAAATGCAATAAAATAAAGATTTAATGTGACTGCACACAGTGCGTTCATATCACATTGTAACCTGCTACTATCAAGGGCATCCACTGGCTGCTCAAACAAAAACAGTCGTAATTCAGTGACACTGCTCTCTTTTCTGTTGCTATCTGACTCATGCTAAATAAAAATGCTACATTAGTGGTTTTTCCAGCATGCTTATGTTAACAATGGACTTTCAGGGAACTGTTCTGGCTCTGTTTCATGTTTTGACAAGTCTGGATCCGACTGTTAACCACTCATATGCTGGATGGAGCACAGAGCTGGGTGATCTGCAGACAACTGAAGCCTCTTAAATGTTAGCAGTGGCTCATTCTAGCTCTGTATATAGTATAAATTTTAAAGACATGTGGGTTGCTATTTTTATATTGCAAATAATGTTCCTTTCAGTGAGTCAGGCAATGATGGCAACATGACAGGAGATGGTCTGCTGAGTCAGCTCCAACAGGAACCATGGAAAGGTTTCAGCGATCTGCAGCCGAGCAGCATGACGGGATAAAGGACTACTGCAAGTCCGAGTCGCCGCCAGAAGAGTCCAGAGGCACGGACGACTGTGGGAGGGCGGCGTCAGAGCTGACAGACCTGCAAGAATTAAAGAGCGGGGATGAGGAGGACAAGGAGGAAGTGCTTCCGGCTAAAGGCCTGAAGGGGGATAAGAAGAGAAGACAGACAGCGGGTCAAGATCAGGAGGACAATCACAGCAAGCAAAACCACAGTGCATCCTCCAGCTACACAGGTACAACACTAGGGCTCCAGTCCAAGACACAAAAACAGGATTTATTTATTAAATTATGTAATGTTCATGCTTTTCTTGGTTTTATGAACACAGATCTTTCTAATACTTCAACGCCTTTGCTGTCAGAGCAGCTGCGTCTCGGCAGAGAGGATAACACAGGTCCTGGTATCAGTGTGGAGTGTAAGGTCTGTGGGGATAAAGCCTCAGGTTTTCACTATGGAGTCCACGCCTGTGAAGGCTGCAAGGTAGGCATCACAGAAGACAATCTGTCAGATAAAACATTTGATATCAGCTACTTTTGGACAGCAGTTGTTTAACCAGTTGTGATGCTGCTGATTAAGGGCTTTTTCCGGCGGACCGTGCGGATGAAACTGGAATATGAACGCTGTGAGCATTCCTGCAAAATACAGAAGAAGAATCGCAACAAGTGCCAATATTGTCGCTTCCAAAAGTGCCTGTCATTGGGAATGTCCCATGATGGTGAGTGTGAACAGAGTTTTATTCCAAACGCGTAATTTTTTTAAAGTTGAGGCTAATTATTGTTTTTAAAATGATCATTCTTAACACAATAAACTGTAAAATTCACGCTTTTGGTATTTTTTTAAATTTCCAATCAAAAGCAGATATAACCAGTATGTTTTGTGAATGTCTACTCAAAACTAGTCGTGTGTGTGTGTGTGTGTGTGTGTGTGTGTGTGTGTGTGTGTGTGTGTGTGTGTGTGTGTGTGTGTGTGTGTGTGTGTGTGTGTGTGTGTGTGTGTGTGTGTGTGTGTGTGTTTGCGTTTGCGTTTGCGTTTGCTCAGCGATCCGATACGGACGTATGCCTGAGGCGGAAAGGAAGAAGCTGGTGGCTGGTCTGCTCGCAGAGGAGCTGAACCTCAGCAAACCAGGCGGCTCCGACTTGAAGACATTAGCCAAACAAGTTAACACAGCCTACCAGAAGAACCTCAGTATGACCAAGAAGAGGGCCCGCAGCATCTTGATGGGCAAAACCAGCAGCACCTCGGTATGTCTGATCCTCATATCCACTTGAGGCTCTTCTCCTTTTGCAGGTCTGATCCATTTTACAGTTGGGATGAGAGCCAAACACCATTTCCCAAACACCACAAACCACTTCCTAGCTCTAGAGAGTTACAGCTAGTTTTAACGGTTGTAGTTTTATTTCCAGCCCTTTGTGATCTACGACGTGGACACACTCTGGAAAGCAGAAAGTGGGTTAGTGTGGAGCCAGTTAGTGCCAGGTGCTCCCTTGACCAAGGAGATTGGAGTTCACGTCTTCTACCGCTGTCAGTGTACTACAGTGGAGACGGTGCGAGAGCTCACAGAGTTTGCCAAGTCCATTCCAGGGTTTGTAGACCTCTTCCTTAATGACCAGGTGAGTCACAGCCTCTTGCTTGTATTTTGTGTTTATTTATTTAAGAAAAGCACTGATGTCTGTTTGCTGCCTGCAGGTGACGTTGCTGAAATACGGTGTCCACGAGGCTATTTTTGCCATGCTGCCCTCACTCATGAACAAAGATGGACTCCTTGTGGCCAATGGAAAAGGCTTTGTGACCAGAGAGTTCCTTCGCAGCTTAAGGAAACCCTTCAGTGAGATCATGGAGCCCAAATTTGAGTTTGCTGTCAAGTTCAATGCTCTGGAGTTGGATGACAGTGACCTGGCCCTGTTTGTTGCTGCCATTATTCTCTGTGGAGGTGAGACTGATGAGTTTATGGGTAAAATGTTTAGAGTTTATAACTTCCAGTCCATCCAAATTGCTTAAAGTCACTGAGCTATTGTTGCAAGAAGGATTTAAATCTCACTTACTTGGTTTCTAATGTTATTTTTAGTCTTAAGAATCGACAGCTTTTGCTCCAATATTTATAGTCTTCTGGAATCAAATGGTTCCCTTTTAAAGTTGTAACGAAGTTTATCCTAGAATTCAAGTAAGTTTTGGTTGTTTCTCAACTCCGCGCTGGTGCCATGTTACTTCGATGACGAGCTATCAGCTGGGCTTTCAGACACGCTGTTATAGAGTAATACAGATGATCTTACAAAGTCAACAAAAAGCCTTATTGTAGTCTGTTGCTGTGTCATCCATGGTGCAGACACTAAACTACTTCCACACACTGCCTCTAAAATGCTGTCATCTTGGGACTGTGTCTGGTCCACCCATCATCTTCCATCTTTGTAGCAAACATCAGCTCACTGGTCTCTAAGCTGTGTGTAACTGTTTAGTAATAACAATAAAACATGTGTAGATAAATAAATATGCAACAGGTAAATTCATGTTGTTGATGGATTTACATTTATGTACCTGATGTATTTATCAAGTTACATAGAAATGTTTGGTCCACGTATGGAAGCCCATCCCTGCCACTCTGATTAAAAAAAAACATTCTAGTACCTCATAATTATGACTCTCATTATTATGAGATACTAGATTTTTTTTAATCAGAGCGGCAAAAATGGACTTCCATACATAGGAATGCATATTTGAACTAAAATCACCTCATGTTGAAAACTGATGGAATAATTAATTTATTTTGACAATAAAATTACTCTCAGTCCCACTTGATGTGCTAAATCTCTTAGCGCTCAGAATACGTCGTGTGAATAACTCTGCTAGTTCCACACCACATTTGTAGCTTAAAGGTGCAGTTTGTAAGACTGACACGCTGTGGTCAAATGTGATAACTGCAGTCCATTTTTATAAGTAACAACGTTACTCTCTCCCTCCTGTTCTGCGAGTTTCATGGCTGTTGCCAGTTACGGCTCAGCAGCAGAAGATTCTAGATAACAACAAAAGATGATTAATACACAGTAAGTTGATAAGTAGATAATACATTTTTATATCTGGTGCTAGCATTATAGGGTGTTTTATGGTAGGGAGCACTTACTACATTTATTACGGTAGTTTGTCTCCGGCATTACAGGAAGTGTGGTTGTTTGCCATTATGCTGTTAGTTGACTGTTATAGTTCTGAATGACTCCTTAAAGGAAGTACGGCGCCATGATTGACTCTCTATTCACTTCACATAGTGATGCACTGATATGAAATTTTTGGGCCGATACAGATATCCGATCTTAATATCACTGTTATGGCAATAACCAATATTTGCCAGTACCAATATACTGACATTAATACTTCTAAAATCAGCAGATTTTGTATAGAATGAAAATGATTAAAGCTGAATTTACATTATGTACACACACCACACACATTTATGCTTCTGACATGATTACAATCACTGTCACATGACTAAACAAATACACGTGACCCCCTCACTCTCTGAAACAGATAAACAAATAGAAACAAGGTGGAAAAAATATCAGTTGTTAATATTGGGCCAGTTTTATTTATTGGGCCGATATGGTAAAAAATGGCCGATATTGATGCCGATATATTGCACATCCCTAACTTCACACATACATTTCACCGTACCAGTGAGTTGTTGGTAATTGAAAAAGTGAGATATTTTTATTGTTAGCTCAATGTTAGCCTCTAACCTTCTTTACCCAAGAAATAACCTCTGGGTCGCTCTGGTTTACTAGCTTTGGTTCTATAAACTCTGGAGCTTTTTGCCTGCTGGTGTTGAATTACAAATGCCTGCGCTGCTGCGTCAGCTCACTGTTGATTGGGCGACCTCACAAACTCAGTGTAAACAATAACTACGTCCCGCTTTAGTTATTTTTTTCCAAAAGGAGAAAAACTGAGAACCCTACAGTCGGCAGATGATTAATTCTGTTTCAATATAACCTTTCTTCCAACATTACTGAGACAATAGACTGTTGAGTGATTATTTCACAGTTGAGTTCTTACAAATTGCACCTTTAATATCTGTAAAAAAATACTGATTAACATCTTATTTTGTGCTGTCTAAGGTTGATCAGCAGTGGCAGCCATCATGAATGAGGTTGACTCCAAAGGTTAATCAGTTGATGCTTGTCCAATAATTATTTCTTGAGTTTAATTAAAATCTAACCATGAGTTCATGAAGAGTTTGCCAACATCATGAACACACTCAGACACAGAAAAGAATGTTTGTGCCAGGCGAATATTTACTTTCTTGATTCTAAACCTAACTAAATTAACTTACATCTTTAATTTCTATGGCTTCTCTTGGTGTCTTCTTTTCAACTTAGATCGTCCCGGGTTAATGAACGTGAAGCAGGTGGAGCAAAGTCAGGACAACATCCTCCAGGCCCTGGACCTCCACCTTCAAGCAAACCACTCGGACTCTGTCTACCTCTTTCCCAAGCTGCTTCAGAAGATGGCTGATCTTCGGCAACTGGTTACTGAGAACGCTCAGCTTGTCCAAAAGATCAAAAAGACTGAGTCGGAGACCTCGCTCCACCCTCTACTACAGGAGATCTACAAAGACATGTATTAGAAACCTCCAGCACAGACTGACCTATAGCAATACTGTTACAGACAGAATCTACGGTTGCAGCAATGTGCTGCATTCAATTCAAGCTCCATACGGAAGTGGATTTTTGACACAAAGATGAAGCAAATTTACTTTTTTAGGACTATCACAATCAGCAAAGTCTTCACAATATCAGCATTACTTTCAGCACAGTAGTGTGCATGTGAGTGTGTGAGTGTGTGTGATGAGCATCTGGAATCATTTGCTGCAAGCCTTGGTTTCCCACAATGGTCACCTAACAGGAAGAGTGATATGTTTTCTTACAGAGGCTGCTCCTGTTTCATCTTCATAGCAACGCTGACCCCAGAGCAGTGTTAAGAGAGAGCTTCTCCCATTCTGAGGCTCTTATGTTTTGTTGGAAATGGAGAGCATTTCACGCTTTTACACAAGTTTTCTTCTTGTTTTGCAAGACTGATTGTAATTCTTCTCAGGCTCTCGTCGAAGTTTAAGATGCACAAATTGATATTTGTTTACAACGTCATAATTGTCATCATGATCATCACTTTGCCATGTGGTTTGAAGAACACAAACTGGGCTGGGTCCAGCAGTGTATAGCTCTCCCATCACAAGAGTCTGTGCAATATCATTTTCATTTGTCAATAAATGTGAGATCCAAGTAATTTAGCTTTTGTCTGGTAGCCATCTACCCAACAGGCAACACTTTAATCATGCTAAACGTGTTATTTCCTAAGGCTGACACTATAAACATGTGACTCACCAAAGCACAAGGGACAGCATGCTTTATGTTCAACATACAGTAAATTTGTCATTTTGTTGTTGGTCTTTGTAATCATGTTATTAATTATTTGTTATTGTCAATGACATTGTAAGGGCAGGTCATGACTTATTACATGAATTAAGCAGACATGTTTGGTATTACATACTTGTCCGTTTAGGTCAATCCAAATATACCAGTGTGTCACCCCCTTATGAGGAATTTCAGTTCCATAGTGCTGCAGAATTTACTGCAAACCAGCATAAAAGGTGGATTTTATTGTTACTGGCGAATTGTATGACATTTGAAAATCATCTAGTATCATGAAGTTTTTTTTTTTGTATTCCAGATATACACAATCCAAGAACACTATTTCTTTTTGTGTTTTTTTTTTTGTTTGTTTTACCGCCCTATCCAGATCCGTACGAATCTTCTGTTACTACTGATTTAGATCATCTCTGATTCACATGGTCCTCGTTTAGGATTCTCCTCTTGTGCTCTTATTCTGTTCTGATCCCCATCTACCTCTAATATATAAATATTTCACTGTCTTATCCAACTCGACCCTATTTTGCCTTAATTCCTGTTATTGCACAGTGGAGTGATCGACTATCTTCGGTGTGCCAAGAAGGCAAAGTGTGAATAGAAAAAAAAACGATACACCAAAATATTAAAGACTTTATGCATGTAAGTGATGAGTTGATGTATTTGTTAGCAAGACCAGGCCTTGTATGTTTTTTAAGGGGTGGGAATTTAATGCATTAATTTATTAATTAGAAATAAATCAATTTAGCAGCAAAATACATGCCCTAAATATCAAATATCTTCATGTTGCATCTATAAAAAAAATTCAGCACCTTGGCTACAAGACCATGCAAACCTGTTTTATGTGCTCCACACACATCTAAAACTACAATCAAACGACTGATCAGAAATCCCTCTTTATGTGTAAAAGTTTTTGCCTTCATTTCTGTCTCTAATGCTGCTAAAATATGGAACTCAAAAGTATTCAAAATCATAGACGTTATATACGTAAATGCGACGCGGACTGGGGCAGCCTATTGAAGCTTGCATAGTAGCACGCCGCCGTCTTGGATGGGTCCCCAATCACCCCCCAGTGCATTTATTTCTACTGAAGAAGGTGTTTACCCAATTTAAAAAATATGTTATTATTTTAACTAAATCAGGCATGTGGTATGTGTAAGTGGCATGATAATTAAAATACAAAATCCCAACAGGTAGGCTAGAAAAGTCAATAGTAATCCCACATGATCTATTTTCAAAAGTGCGATAGTATGAAGATTGCTGTAAAGTCACTGATGCCAGTGACTCATTGTAATCTGCTGGATTCCTTATATAGAAAAGTTTTTACTGATTGGTTTAATTGAACTGAACCGTATTAGAATGCTTACTTTGTGAAGTGCCTTGAGACCACTCTTGTCATGATTTGGCGCTATATAAATAAACTGAGTTGAATTGCGCCAGTTTTTGCAACCATAGGCTGCACCAAAACAAAAACAAAAATACAGGCACTGTTGCTCCCAGTTGAGTTTGGAGAGAGAAACCCACCCAATATGGCGGCGATGCTGTTTCACTCTTCAACGTCCAATGGTACATCTACGTATTTATGTCTATGAGTAGAATGACGACGGAAACTGAAAATATGAATAAAAAAGTTGAAGGGATGCAAATGAGATTACCCTATAATGTAGCAAGGAGTTTTCCAACTCCACAACTGCTTCATATAGAGTGTGAGACATTGTCTAACTGCCGCCTGTCTTCCAATACCTGCACTGGATTGAGGGGACACCCTTGGACAGACCTGGCCTTCTTAATGAGCTAATCCAATCTCTGTCTCTCTGCAAGAAGCTGCTGCTCTAACTCACCACACCATAGACGATGGCTGATGCCACCACTGAGTCAAAGGAGGTCCTTAGGCATGCCCCTGTCCTCCAAATGATCTCACTCTCTTCAGCAGATAGAGTCTGCTCTGCTCTTACCCTTCCTGAAAAGAGCTTCTCTGTTATAGCTCCAGTCCACTTTGGTGTTTAGGTGACCAAAGCAAGTCGTCCTCACCTGTGATGAAGTAGACTATGAAGAGTCATCAAAGGACTTCTGTAGATGACAGCCTGGGGTATTGATGGAGATGTTTACAGTTCCTGTGTTGCGCCTGTACTGCAGACCAGCTTGTTAAAGACACAATCCTGCGACTGAGCAAGCTGCAGGTATTCTGTGAGGTAGAGCATCTGCCAGCTTGTCCATTCAGAAGTCATGGTTGGATTGTGTTGAAAGCACTGGAGAAATCAAACAACATGATCCTCATAGTCATGAGTCCTCGAAGTCATAGGCTTCTCCAGGTGAGTTAGAGCTTGGTGTAGGAGGTAAGTGATGGCATCATCCACCTCGATGCCAGGCTGGTAGACAAACAGCAGCTGATCCAATGATGACATCACCAGGGGGCAAAGATGGCTACACCAGCCTCTCGGGGGTCTTCATCAGATGCAAGGTCAGCTACTGGCTTGTACTAGCTGATGATCTGGGTGTGATGTCTTTGGCACTGGTATCACTAGCACTTCTACAGCTGTGATACATTCCCCTAGCCTGGCAAGCCAGACTAAAACGCAAGAATTGGGTCTAGTACACTAGGCTAACATTCCCCAACATCAGGCTCATGTTATACATATATCCCATGATGCCACAGAACTGGTCACCACAGCACCAGGAGGCTGGAGCTGATGCCGTCTGGTACCAGACGTCCTGCATGCTTTGGTTTCTGTTCTTCTGCTGTACTTTGGGGTCGCTAAAGCTGCCGTTAATGTGTAGTATAAATAAACGTGACCTGCTTTCTCACACTCTAGGTGAGGAAAGAGCTCACTAAAACAAATCATGATGTAGAAAGTAATTACATCCACAATGTGCTTGCTAAAGTTTTTTTTAATTTGCTAGATTCATTCAATCTAACTCCATGGGTATCATCCCCAACTCATGCCAGGGGTCACACCCTGGACCTGGTTCTCTCTTTTGGTCTCCCTGTCATGAACCTTGTGACTTTGCCTCCTGTGTTCTCTGACCACTCTCCTATACTCTGTGATGTTACGTTGCCATTTCCTGTCCCTTTGTGTGAAGCTCCAGCTACTAGGTTCAGAGCCCTGGATGCAGAAACTATTTCAAAGTTTGTGGACTGTATGTCTGTAAGGTTAGAGACCTTTAACCCTGATCCATCTAACACTGAACACTATTCACAACACTTTGATTTACTTTGTAATCAGGTCCTGGACGTGGTTGCCCCTCTCAAACTTTTCAAGTCTAGGCTTAGGAGGGAGCCTTGGCTCTCTGATGTCACACGGGCTTGTAGGCAGGCGTGTAGAGCCTCTGAGAGAAAGTGGAAAAAGGATGGCCTACAGGTCTCGCGTGAGTTGTTCAGAGCATCACTGGTTGCTTATCAGGATTCTGTGAGGGCTGCTAGAACGGCCTATTTTGCAGACATCATTGAAACAAACTCCAAGAATCCCAGGATTCTCTACAAAACACTAAACTCTGTTCTGGTGTATCAGGAGCCTATATAGCTTCATGTCTCCTACAGCTGCTGGAAACTCTGAAGCTTTTCACAGATTCTTTGTCAATAAAGTATCAGGCATTAGAGCAGCTATTTCCGGTAACTTTATCGACACTGTTCCACGTCCTCCATCACCACCCACCCTGTGCTCCCTCAATACCGTTTCTTATTCTGAGCTGAGTAAGCTTGTTGCGAGGCAGAAGCCATCTGGTTCTCCACTTGACGTTCTGCCGCCTCGCCTCTGGAAGGCTGCCTTTCCATGTCTTGGCCCATCACTCGGTCAGATTATCAATGGGAGCCTCAGCACAGGTGTGGTCCCAGCTGCTTTGAAAACAGCAGTTGTTCGGCCGACCCTGAAGAAACCTGGTGCTGATGTCTCTGTGATCGCAAATTACAGGCCTATCTCTACCCTGCCTTTTACATCAAAACTGCTTGAGAAAGTCGTTTATCAGCAGCTGGTCTCACATTTAGCTGACTCTGATCTGTTTGAGGTTTTCCAATCAGGGTTCAGGTCTGGCCATAGCACAGAGTCTGCTCTACTGAGGGTCTTAAATGACATCTATCTATCTCTAGATCAGGGTACATCTGTGGTGCTTCTGTTGTTAGATCTGACAGCAGCCTTCGACACAGTTGACCACGCGATTCTACTCGATCACTTGGAACGATGGGTTGGGATCAAAGGGTCTGCTCTGGATTGGTTTAGATCATACTTCCACAACAGGACATTCTGCGTTAAACTGGGTGATGTTTTTTCTTCTTGGGAGGGGCTCCGCTGGGGGGTCCCGCAGGGATCGATCCTTGGTCCTCTTTTGTTTGCCATTTATCTGCTACCTCTGGGGTCAATCTTTCGTAAACATGGCATATCATTCCATCTGTATGCTGACGATTGCCAGATTTACTCTCCATTGTGTCAGGAGAAAGGTCACTCTATTCAGTCCTTTGTCTCCTGTGTTAATGAGGTGAAGTCTTGGCTAATGTCCAACTATCTACATCTGAATGAGGGAAAGACAGAGCTCATTGTTTTTCACCCCAACAGCAGGAATGTGGATCGTTATGCTGATCTGGGGCCTCTTTCTCCATACTCAAAACCAGTTGTTACCAGTTTGGGGGTGAAACTTGATGTAGGACTTAAATTTGATGCTCACATCAATTCTGTTATCCGGTCCAGTTTCTTTCACCTGAGACGCCTTGCTAAAATCAAGCATATGCTGTCGAGTGCCCACCTGGAGCGGGTACTGCATGCCTTTGTTATTTCTCGGCTTGACTACTGCAACTCTCTATATGCAGGGTTGTGTTAGTCAACACTGCGTCGCCTACAGGTTGTGCAGAACAGCGCTGCCAGGTTCCTGACTGGGACCAGGAAATGGGACCACATCAGTCCGGTTCTGGCCTCTCTGCACTGGCTTCCGATTTGCTATCGCTCACAATTCAAAATCCTCGTCTTTGTTTATCATTTCTTCCAGGGTGGTGCTCCCCCCTATCTGGCCACACTCCTGAACAAACATTCCCCATCACGCGCTCTGCGCTCCTCTGACCAAGGCCTGCTCGCTGTCCCTCGGTCTAGGTGTCGTACCCGTGGGGACCGGGCTTTCTCAGTCCTAGCACCGTCACTCTGGAACCAGTTGCCACCCTCAGTTAGGCTGTCCCCTTCTCTGCCAGTCTTTAAGAATCACCTAAAAACACACCTCCTCCGCTTGGCGTTTCCAGAACATGTTTGATTTTGGCCCTCTTTTATGTTGAATCCATTCCACAGTTTTCATTGGTACACTCAATCCATCCACTCAATCCAAATGTGTTTCACACATTTGTCCTTTACCAGAATGTTTCATCTATCTTGTAATTTCCATTTTGTATTTTGTAATTTGAATTTCTTTTATTGTTGATTTATTCAATATATTTACTTAACTGTACCGTGTTCAGCGCTTTGGGCTTCCTGACAGGGTTGCGGAAGGCGCTTTATAAATAAAGCTTTGATTGATTGATTGATTGATTGATTGATTGATTGATTGATTGATTGTTGATAGAAAACCTGAGCAAGAGTTCTGACAGGCAGGCCAACAATTTTGGAGCACACTGATGCAGTGTGCTGCAGTCTGTTCCTGTTCTGGAGGCTAAGGGAGTAGAACCAGCAAGTGATGGAGAAGGTCATGATGCTTTCCAGGAAGGCACAGTAAAAGATCATCATGATTGAGGAGCTGACTCCAAAGGAGTTGAGCTTCCTAAGGAGATATAACCGTTGGTGGCACTTCATGAGAATCTCCTCTGTGTTAGCAGAGAATTTCAGGAGGTTGTCAAAGGTGGTTCCCAGATACTTGTACTCCTCCACTACCTCCACTGGGTTCCCATGGATAATGGTGGTTACTGAAGCAGCCGGATCCCTCTGCCTCCTGCAGAAGGTCACCACCATGTCTTTGGTTTTGCTCACATTCAGTTCAAGTTTGGAGCTGTCACACCACTCTACAAACTCCTGAAGAGCAGGTCCGTGGTGTTGTGAGGAGCCTGACAGCAGTGATAGGAGGACTGTATCATCAGCGTATTTCACCAGGTGACAGTTGGGATGTGTGGATCTGCAATCGTCGGTGTAGAGGATGTAGAGCAGGGGGAGAGCACACAGCCCTGGGGGGAGCCGGTGGAGGTGGAACGGAGACCGGAGAGACAGTTGTTGACCCGAACTTTCTGAGTCCTGTTGGTTAAAAAGTCCAGTATCCACAGGGTTAACTGGTCATCTAAATGAAATTGGGAGGAAAGTTTAGTAGCCAGGATGTGAGGCTGCAGAGTGTTGAATGCTGATGAAAAGTCAACAAACTGAAGCCTGGCGGAGGAGACAGGGAGCTCCAGATGTTTGTGGATGGAGTCCAGGATGAAGATTTTTGCATCATCGGCGCCTCTGCGTGCACGATAAGCAAACTGGAGTGGATCCATCAGGGGCTCAGTTGCTCTCACAATGTGCTCTTTTATGATCTTCTCCATGGCCTCCATGGTCATGGAGGTGAGCGCCACAGGACGAAGATCGTTAGGAGACTTTGGGTTGCTTCTTTTTGGGACAGGGATAACTGTGGAGTGTTTCCACAACTGGGGGACGGTGTGACTGTCAAGTGAGTGTTGAAATAGAGTCTGGAACACATTTCCTAGCTGCTCTGCACAGTGCCTCAGAACTCTGCTACTGATGTTGTCAGGGCCGGGTAAGCTCCTCTCCCTGGTCCTCCTGAGGGCTCTCACCACGTCCTCGGTCTGGAAGGCGAGTGCAGAGCTGCCAGGTTTGAGTGAGGATCTGGACTCCTCAAGCTGGGTGAAATTGTCTGTCTCAAACCTGGTGTAGAAAGCGTTGAGGTCGTCAGGGAGGGAGGTGGGGTTGCTGCCCTCCACCTGGATGGTTCTGGAGGCAGTGACCACAGTATTCACAGCAGCCATGGTTTTGAGCCCCTGCCAGGTTGAGCGAAGGTCTCCTGTGGTAAAATTTTTTCCACATTGTTTTTATATTTCAGTTTAGCAGCTTTAACATGGCCTATCATTCCATCTCTATGCTGACGATTGCCAGATTTACTCTCCATTGTGTCAGGAGAAAAGTCACTCTATCCAGTCCTCTGTGTCCTGTATTAACGAGGTGAAGTCTTGGCTAATGGCCAACTATCTGCATCTGAATGAGGGAAAGACAGAGCTCATTGTTTTTCACCCCAACAGCAGGAATGTGGGTCGTTATGTTGATCTTGGCCCTCTTTCTCCCTACTCAAAACCAGTTGTTACCAGTTTGGGGGTGAAAATTGATGCTGGACTTAAATTTGATGCTCACATCAACTCAGTGATCCGGTCCAGTTTCTTTCACATGAGACGCCTTGCAAAAATCAAGCCTATGCTGTCGAGAGCCCACCTGGAGCGGGTACTGCATGCCTTAGTTATTTCTAGGCTTGACTACTGCAACTCTCTTTATTCAGGGTTGTGTCAGTCATCACTGCGTCGCCTACAGGTTGTGCAGAACAGCGCAGCTAGGTTCCTGACTGGGACCAGGAAAAGGGACCACATCAGTCCGGTTCTGACCTCCCTGCACTGGCTTCCGGTTTGCTATCGTGCACAATTCAAAATCCTCGTCTTTGTTTACAATTTCTTCCAGGGTGGTGGTCCCCCCTATCTGGCCACTCTCCTGAACAAACATTCCCCATCACGCGCTCTGCGCTCCTCTGACCAAGGCCTGCTCGCTGTCCCTCGTTCTAGGTGTCGTACTCGCGGGGACCGGGCTTTCTCAGTCCTAGCACCGTCCCTCTGGAACCAGTTGCCACCCTCAGTTAGGCTGTCCCCATCTCTGCCAGTCTTTAAGAGTCGCCTAAAAACACACCTCCTCCACTTGGCGTTTCCTGAACATGTTTGATTCGGCCCTCTTTTACGTTGAATTTCGTTCACAGTTTTCATTGGTTCACTCTATCCCTTGTTTTACCCATCTGTCCTGTACTAGAATGCTTCACCTTTTTTTGTAATTTGTATTTTATAATTTGAATTGCTTTTATTTTTCAATTGCTTTTATTTTTGATTCATTCACTATACTGTACCATGTTCAGCGCCTTGGGCTTCCTGACAGGGTTGCGGAAGGCGCTTTATAAATAAAGCTTTGATTTGATTTGATTGATTTGACAATCAATAAAAGGGGTATTTATCAAATAGATAGATAGATAGATAGATAGATAGATAGATAGATAGATAGATAGATAGATAGATAGATAGATAGATAGATAGATGGATAGATGGATAGATGGATGGATGGATGGATGGATGGATGGATGGATGGATGGATGGATAGATAGATGATAGATAGATGATAGATAGATAGATAGATAGATAGATAGATAGATAGATAGATAGATAGATAGATAGATAGATAGATAGATAGATAGATAGATAGATAGATAGATAGATAGATAGATAGATAGATAGATAGATAGATAGATAGATAGATAGATAAAATAAGAACAAACAAATAAATGTAGAATATAGTCCAGTGACTAATTACTTTTTTCAACTTGATTACAAACACCAACACCAACATTTTCTCGATTTATTTTTGAAATTTCAGTCTCTCTGAACTACTTTTTCCAGTCGTCTCGTTGAATGATTGACAAACGTTTCGGCCAATGGCGTGTAACGTACGTGACGCACGTACGTCCTCTTTTCGTTGCTATTGGTTCGTTACCACGGCAATTGTAAGGCCCAAAACAGCTGTTGGCTATTTAGTTAGCGTTAAGGAGAGTACTTCTTTTGGCGGCTCGCTTAAAAACACACAAGATGGACTCAGCTCGCAATGCAAATATTTGTAGGTAAGTAAACAAGTTAAAACTGGGGACAGTGAGTTAAAATTAAGAAATATTTCATTTCCTTTGAAACCCAGTCGTTTTGGCTACCGTAAATTCAAGGTAACAGACGATAAATAGTACGTTGAATAGCCCATTTAGGCGATTGTTTGGTTTATGATGGACATGGGTTAACGCTGAAGAACCACGTGAATCATAAAACTATGCAAGATGAGTAACCAAATGACTAGTTTGACAATAAAACACCTGGTAACTAAATATGTTTAAGGTGAAGTTTAAAGCAAGAAGAAGTCAACAAGCCACGTTGAAGAATGGCCGTACGTTGCAATGATTCTTGCTACACTAGTAGCCCTTTTCCAGCTAATATGAGCTAATAACATTAGCTACTAGCCCCGTTTGCTAACTGTTTTGTAAACGGGTCACTTCATAAACAAAAGAAAAATTCCAATTAGCAGAATGTAATTGGTTTTATTCCTTGAAGTTTGCAGATAAATCTGTGGCATCATATTGTAAACTGTTTGTTTCTTGAATTCAGTTGATCTGATGGCTGAAAAAGACGTTTAGCATTAATTTCCCTCAATTTCAACTTTTTTTTAAATATAAGTTTTATTTTTTGGCTAAAAGTACGTTCTTTTGTTGACATAAATGTAAGGAATGACTAACAGACTAGAATTTTATTTCTGACTTTACTCATTTTTTAACCTTTCTTTTTCTCATTCCAGGCGATTCTTAAATGGCTCGTGCAGATTTGGCCCAAGATGTTATTACAGACATGAGTGGCCTGTAGTGCCATCGTCCCAAATATGTAGATACTATCAGAAAGGTGCATGTTGGTATGGTGAACGCTGCAGGTACGTGCTCTTTTAGTGTGTTTTTATTGTAAGGCTATAGAAAAAAGCTAATTCAGTGTTCTTTCACTTTTAGGTATCTCCATGTTCTCCAGCCTGTGGTTGGCATGGCTGGCGCAGGTAGAAGGGGTACAGTGCCTTCTGTTTCCTTCCCCAGTGAGGCTCACTCTTCCACTGACAGAAGAGGTTCAGAACCATCATTTCTACATTCTAATGTCACATCCAGGCAGGAATGCAGTGGATCACAGCAGACAGTTAATGCCTTAAATCCTCAGCACAACACTACACCTGATGATGCAAGGACCCAGTCACAAGGTGTGGCATTTTTTATTTCTAAACAGTTGATGTAGATTAACATTTATTAATACTGACTTAACCTAATTTCTTTCAGTGCAAACTAGCGTGGAGCCTGTTCAGAACCCAGAAATTGCTCAAGCAAGTGAAAATCAAGAGGTAGAGGAGGTACAAATGTATTTGTGGCTGCTCTACAGATCAGTGAACTGAAGTGGGTGAAACATGGGGGCGTCCTATTGATTTTAATGTTAGTGTTTTCTTGTCTTCAGGGGTCGTCTGAATCTGAACCACATGAGGGTGGAGCTGCTGCTGCTTCAGCTCAGAGTAATGGAGGTGAGGAGGAAATGGAGGCCTTCCTGCAGAGTAATAATGTAATCTGTGGGATCTGTATGGAAAAAGTCTATGAAAAGGAGAATACAAAAGATCACATGTTTGGGATTTTGCCAAACTGCAATCATCCCTTCTGTTTACAATGCATCACAACCTGGAGGAAAACAAAAGATTTCAGGCCTGAAGTTGTAAGGTGGGTTCTAGCTGTAATTGAAGGTCAGATCAACACACAACACAGGATTTGACCTCTCACTCCTGTTTGCTCCTTTTTTCTCTTAGGTCTTGCCCACAGTGTCGAGTGAGGTCTGCTTTTTACGTGCCAAGCAAGTACTGGGTTGAAGGACAAGCAAAGCAGAGTTTGATTGATTCATTCAAGAAGAAATTTAGGTAAACTTCAGTTCTGAAATCATTAAAGTTTAGTGGATTTCTGTTCATCACAGCATTGCTGTTGAACGTATGTGTCCTTCCCACGGATTAGAAATGACCTGTAACTAAAGTTATCTTTTTTTTCCCTTGAGTGGAATTGCTAATTATTGAAAGTCTGTTATTATGAGATATGTCTTTCACCTGACTGAGCTAAAGGTTATTTTTAGTGTTGGATGTTGTGTTGCATGTAGCTGCGTCATAAATCTGCTAGCTGTTTGTGTTAGGATTGGCCTGTATAACACACACACACAAGTGAAGCTCCTGAATGATTCCTCATCTGTGTTTCCAGTAAGAAAAGATGCTGCTTCTATGACCGATGTGGATACTGTCCCTTCAAAACAGAGTGTCTTTATCAACACATTGGGAGCTTCAATCACGTGTTTTCTGTAAGTGCAGTCATTGATTTATTTACCTTTATAGTTTCCTACAAGGTGATTATATTCATTTTTCAACTTTTCCCCGATTGCAGTATTTCTCTGAAGACGATGACGATGAAGATGGTGTTGATCTGCTTGGCTTTTTCCTAGCTATGACCCTTCTTGGTGGTGAAGATAGTGATGATGACATGCCCGTTTACATAGCTGAAGACGACTAGTTCTGAGTAGCTTCATTATTTCTTTCAGTGACCAAAACACTGATTGTGACATCACTAAAACGGCTTGTTCTGGGAATCATGCCTGTGTTTTGACTCCTTTATTGAATCTGTACTAAACCACTATTGAAGTGGCCTTTTATCATCATCATCAATATCTCTGCTTTTGCCACAGAGTCCTAAGTGCGTTTAGGTTTTTGTATTGTCACAACTGATTTTGTAATCTGTCATTTGTGCCGTTTAGCTAATCATGCTATAGTTGGATTAGAATCATTTGATCCCGACCTTTCCACAGCGTGTGATTTGACTTTCCCAGATGAAACCGCATTCATCATATCCCTGATTTTGGTTGACATCCATTTTCTTATATATTGAGGTAATTTACCAACCTTGGTGTCTTGTTTACTTTCCACCCATACTATTTACTCATCACATTGTTGATGGCTCATTTTGAACTAGTTCTAGTAATTTTGGAAACTATAGATGTTTTTAAAGTGTTGTGTGGATGGTGGTTTTAATTGCCTAAAGGTAAAAAGTACACTGTGCCCCTTCTTGATCAACTTTAATACTGATTATTTGCCTCAAGTGATTGCTGTGACTTTTCCTAGTTTGGGGCAAGAATGTGACATTGAGATTTTATCCCTTTTTTTAAAAGACGAAAAAAAAAGTTGTACACTGAAAATAAAACGTTTGCCTCACTGAATAAATGTCTTGTATTGAAGCTGGCTGCTTTGATTTTTATGGTGTGTGTTCCTGTTGAGCTGCAGGGGAGAGATCCTCCCGTCCAGCAGATGGCGCTGTAAACTGCGGTTAGAGATGTGAAAACTGGCGCGTTTGAATTGCTGTCAGAGCTTCAAGCGGACTGGAAGCGTACTCGGTGCTGGCATGTTTTTGGCTCGGTTTGACGGACAGTCGAGGTTCCTCGTCCGTGCTCTGATGTCCGGAGTTTCGGGGGCTCAGACGGCGCTGACAGTCTTCCACAAGCAGCAGCGAGCGAACCCGGAGAAATCCCTGGATCACTTCATAGAAACCCTGTGTCAGGACGAAATAACCAGTGTAGAAAATGAAAACGAGCCACTCACCGTGTGAGTAAAGATCAAAACTTAAAGTTTACGGAGTCTGTTTTTGTTTATAAAACGTGAGTCTTCTTCCGGGTTTACGACTACCTTTTGCCATAGAGACTGATCTGCTACCATCAGCATCAGACGTGTGATCAGCATATCCTTGTTTTGGAGTTCTGAAATGTGCATTAAAATATGTTTTATTTAAAGCTAATCCAGGTTGTATGTTCAGCTTTAAGGTATAAATTAGACAGTAAGCACTGAAAAGCTTTAATATATATAATTAATAATTATATATTAGCTTTAATCCAGTATGCTCAGTGCTTCACTAAAAATGCTTTCAAGGGTTGCTTCACTTGAGTCTAAAGTAAAGGTTTGCTTTAGATTCCAATATTGAAGCTGTCTTGTTAATTTTTTTTATTGTTTTGGTTTATTTCACCCTTCTAGTAAACCACTTGTTTGCCTGTTTTCATCACTGTTCAAAAGAAACCTACTGACCTTCATCTACCTGGTGCGCTCTGTTCTTTCTGGAATCTCCATCCTCCATTTGCTCACATGTCTCAGTCGGGACTCCCATCCCAACCCCTGGGTTACAGCTTTGGGCTCACAGCTGAAAAGATTTCTGGACTTTACTCAAGATGAACCTCTGCACACCAAACACTGCAGCCAGAGGCTGAAAGAGCTATCAGCCAGTTTGTGTGGTTCTGATGAAACTGGGCGTTGGGCGCAGTGCTTTATTGCTCACTCTATGAATTCGGAATCTCAGAGCACACCTGATTTATCAGAACGGGGCACGCAGAGGAAAAGGAAAGGCAGCTATGGTCATGTGGAGGATGCAGACGGTGAAGAAACTGGACATCAAAGTAAACGAGTGAGGATGGATGCCTGTGAGGATGAGTGCATCAAAGCAGCAGATGAGAAAGTGGAAAAGGATGTACATGGAGAATGTGGAGCAGAAAGTCCTCTAGCAGACCGTCTGCAGGATGACCTGCCTGAAAACATTAAGGTAAATAAAATGAGAAGGAGCCTTGTCCTTATATCCTAAAATCTGTTATTTTTTCTTTTTTTAAATCATTTTTGCTCTATAAACATGCTGATATTTAAAGAGTTACTGTCTGACTGCAGCTGTGAGTATATTGTCAATATGACAGACATATGGTGCTGTAAACGGTCATGCTTTGTTGTTTTGTTTAGTCCTCCTTTCTTCAAATAAAAGAAGTGCTGGAAAGTCAGACAGAGGTAAGAGGAATATTTTTTGTTCTGGTTTGTGCAGACTGAATGTGATGTTTGATGATGTTCTGTTTATTTTTTTCTGTTGCAGTGGGATGAAAACTCCCAAAATATGTTCAATGTGCTGAATGAGTGTGACCCAGGCCAAGTACACACTCCTTTTTTAATCTATGATTTAACCTCTATGAAATGTTGTTTAACCAGCCAGTGTCATCTGTCCTGTTCAGGTGGAGGTGTTCTGTAGCCTGCTGGGTTTAGCTGAACTACCTGAACACACTCTGCAGAAGCTGTGCAACAGCATTCTGTCTCTCACCCCTGACCTGAGCTACAGTACAGCAGCGACCCTCATCAAGAGCCTCCTGCTGGAAAAGGTGAAACCACTGGATGTGCAGGGGGTCCAAACAGCACTAAAGGTGTCTGACACTGAAGCTTGTATGTTCCTTGTAGGTTCTGTCCCTGTCAGAACCGGCCTCCAGGTGTCTGGTGATGGCAGTGATGTCCCTCTGTAGCCACTATCCCAGACCTGTGTGTCACGCTATGATTGGTCCAATGCTGGAGGACAAGAACATTGGTGAGGTGACCCACTGTCCTAGTTTTTTTTAAGAACCAAAATATTATCTTTATCCAAGAATGTGGAAGAAAAAAAAACTGTCTCAGCTCTGAAAGGACAGATTTCAGTCTCAGTCCAGTAAAATTTTTATTTCTATATGTAAAGAAAAGAATGATCAAAGCTTGTCAGATTACCGTGACCAGAAATGTGTTTTTACTAAGAAAGATGGCATAGTTTAAAAAAGGAGAAACACTGCTCTTACATCTGCTTGGTATGAGTAAAAACAGACATCGACTTCAGAATTTGAGCCAAATCTTAAACTACCAGTTAGAAAAATGAAGTTTGGACTTGGCGTGGTGGTCAAGCAGAAAAAATAAAGCTAAGCCATGTTTCAGGGGGTTAGTCGGCCTTCGGTCAGTCATTTACAGCAGTTGGTAAGCTGGTGTCCTGAATCCATTACACATTAACAGGACTGCTCCTTTGACTTTTATCAGAAATCAGGTCAGGAACCCTTTTACTAAGTCTTTTGGCCCTGACTTTTGTTGGTTTTCTTTGGACTTTGTTTTGTTTTCAGGGTTTCCACAAGCGGAGCTGCTGAACAGGCTGATGGAAAGCTGCCTGGATTCCCACTACAAACAGCTGGTTCTTCAGTCAGAATAAACACCTAAACTATAAATTAAACGTAAACTCCTTAAAGAAAACACTAAAAATCACTAATATAAACATTTTTTCCATGTCAGAATGACTTTCAGAATTCCCTGGAGTGAAGCTGTGCTCTCTATTATCCACAGCTTGCTTGACTCAAAGGTAATCAGTTCTTTGTTAATGAGAAACATTATTTATATAAACTGTCATTATAACGATTATGTTTTCACCTGCCAGCCTGACTTAAATGAAGACATTTTCACCGACTTCACAGAAGAACTTGTCCGTCAGAGTCCCCGATTCACCAAATCTGTCAAGTTTGCCAAAATGATGCTGACAGTTCTCACTAAATTCAGCAGCCATGTAAGATTTTGCACTTTTTGTCTAATAGTTGAACCGGAAAAAAAACGTATTTGTAATCCTCCATATGATTTTTCAGCTGAGTCCTGCACACAAACACTCCCTGACAAGCTGCTTGAATTTAAACGAGACGTTTCTGAAGAAATCGCTTCAAGCTACTTTGAAGAGAATCACGAACACATGATTCATGATTAAACTCACTGCATGTTGATAAAACTGCTGGAAATAAAGTTTATGTGAATTACTGGACAGCATTTGTTACTCTGCTCTTATTTTGTGTTTTGATCCACCCGCAAAAATGTAAAAAGGATATTCAGCTTTATTAATTGAAGTTCCCTAGGATTTTGTGATCATCAGAAAAAAAAGTTGGCAGTAAACTACGTAATCAGCTTAATGTTATGTTTTAAACTCTTTTTTTAGGGAAATGTTGCAACGTTTCTTTACCAGACTATTCCAAGAACATATTTTGACAACACAATTTACTCAGAAACTGGTTAAAGTTTTTATTTATGTGTACTTTTCAGGGTAATTGCGTAAACACTTTTTTTTAACCATTCAGATTTTACATACATATTAGAAACATTAAATTAATTCAAAATGCAAACTTGCAAATGCAATACACAGGATTCTTACATGTTAATTTGTGGTGAAATGGGGTATTCGTTTGTCCTGCAAATATGTATGTCGATGGTCTTGACTCTTGCATTGTCCTCCACTTACCAACTTTCTTCAGTTGTAGATCATGGTAAAACACTTTGTCATGGTCAGAATTATACAAGAATTGAACAGGAAACAAATGCATCAGCATCTAAAATCAAAATAAAAAATCCCTAAAAATAATGATTAAATTTGCTGTTTGAGTGCTATATTTTAATGATTGTGGCGTAGAATTATAGCAAATTAAAAGCTCATTTAACTCGCTAATGCACTGGGATAAATAATCATTTTTATATATTTCTGTTCCTGTATGTTATTTAAATAAAGATTTATTTGAAAGTGTTCAGTGACGTCACCCCTGCCTTAAATATGCGTAACTTCCGCTAACACTTCCTTTTCAGCGTAGCGCGAGGACCGGGACAAGCTGCTAAGATGAGGTTGGGCACGTTTTAGTCAATAAACGTGTGAAACAGGAGTTTGATGCACATATTACAGCTAATTACGTTAGTTGTGTGTGAAATTAAACATAAGAAACCTTTTTTGTTGCGTTTATTAATTTATAAAGACCGTTAGATGTGACGCATGGGTCCGGTTCACTAGCCGGTAAATGGAGCTTACAACGCTGCTATTAGCAAACATAATCTGTGTCCATCCGTAGATTAAAACCATATTTAATTTAAATATTCTCTTCTAGATTGTTGGATTACTCATTATAGTTGGTGTAATGCAATTATTATGACTTTAGTGCTTATTTTGCTGGTTTTTAGCAGCGTATAGCCGAGCAGTAGCATTAGCTAGTTTCTACCCGTTAGCATCATGGGTGAGTTTAAGTTTTACTCTGATTCTGATGTGTGTGTTATTTTTTTTTTACCAGTAAAGTTTCCAGGGATACCTTGTACGAAGCAGTGAAGGAGGTCCTCCAGGGCTCCTTGACTAAGCCCAGGAAGTAAGTAGATGGGTGTGTTGAGTCCGACATTGATGTGTTATATGAAACGCGTGGTAAATGTGTGACCTGCTGTGTGCTGCCAGGTTTGTGGAGTCTGTGGAGCTGCAGATCAGCCTTAAAAACTATGACCCCCAGAAGGACAAGCGTTTCTCCGGCACTGTCAGGTTCGACTTTTCACTGTTTCACCCAACCTTTTCTGTATCTGCTTCCAGCCCTGTCTGAAGATCATAGAAAAATTTATTGTGAGAAGGTTAAAAAAATAAAATCACCCCTGAGATCAGACAGGTCAGGAAGAGATTTGGAAAAGTAATCTGGGTAGTCTGACTGAGCCCACCGAGCATCAGCCGGTGATGGTAAAGCAGGCGGACCCCTACCCTGGGTCTTAAAACATGAGGGGAGGCTTTGAGTGGCTGAGCCGCTAGGTTCATGTCCTCAAGCCGACCAATTATCCTTTGTGTTGCCAAAGAGGTCTGCTGGATGCCAGCCACTGTGGTGGTAAGGGTAAGATTTTTCTCTCTTGTGGAAAAATATGAAGGTGTCATTTGGCTGTTTTGGGTATGGAGTCTTAAATGAAACTGGTAGTATTCCATCTAAAGTTAACCTGTTTTTGGATGAAATAGGCTGAAGACTCTTCCCAGACCAAAGTTCTCTGTGTGCGTTCTGGGAGACCAGCAGCACTGCGATGAGGCAAAAGCTGCAGACCTTCCCCACATGGACATTGAGGCTCTCAAGAAGCTCAACAAGAACAAGAAGCTGGTGAAGAAGCTCGGTAGGGAAATGATCTGAAAGAAACGTGTGATCAGTAATGATGGTGCGGTTCAAACTTAACTGCTGCTTTTTTACTCCAGCTAAGAAGTACGACGCCTTCCTTGCTTCAGAGTCTTTGATCAAGCAGATCCCTCGTATCCTGGGCCCTGGACTGAACAAGGCTGGCAAGTTCCCCTCTCTGCTCACCCACAATGAGAACATGAACACAAAGGTGGACGAGGTCAAATCCACCATCAAGTTTCAGATGAAGAAGGTTTGTTCAGTTTTAATGCGACAGCTTTATAATCTATTGTCTTATAAATAAACAAGTGAGTGTGTTTTTAATGAGTGTGTGTTGTAGGTGCTCTGTCTTGCCGTGGCTGTTGGACATGTGAAGATGACAGAGGATGAGCTCGTCTACAACATCCACTTGGCTGTAAACTTCCTTGTGTCTCTGCTGAAGAAAAACTGGCAGAACGTGCGTGCCCTGTACATCAAGAGCACCATGGGCAAACCCCAGCGCCTCTATTAAATGTTTTTCTATCAATAAAAGTGGAGAAGCTCCAGTGCTGGCTTTTGTCGTGTTTACAGACTTAAAAGCATTTTGGTTAATCAACACGTCATCCAGATATTTTCAGTTATCTTGCAGTGCAGAAAAAGAAGAATCCAAAGACTAAATTACAAAAAACCTATGCTTAATGAAATGTTAAAAGTTATTGCATCTGTTTCCACAGCAATTTGAGGAACTTTGTCCTAAAGATACATTATGGACCGTCATTCACCAGGATGAAAATCTTGGCTTAATGCCACACATAATTCTGTTGAATGCCACAACAAATGTCCAAACTATTCTTTACAAATAATTTTGTTCTCTCGTGAATCCTGAATTCCTTATTTGGTATATAGAGGGAAAGGGCACATGATCAATTAGGTTATTTATTTGATGTATTCTCTTAACGTGCTATTTTTAAACAGTCTTACCATAGATTTTTGTTCATTATTTTAATATCTATATAACCTTTCATATTACAATTCTCATTTTTAGCTCCTATGATTTTATATTTTAACCTTTTTCCATTGTTTCCTTTGTGGGAGCCCTCTGCCCCGGTGGTGGTGGTTGGCTGTGGCGGCCTGGGTGCTTTACAGGTGTGCCTGGGTGGAGGTGGGGTCTCCGCCCTGGCGCCCTGTGTCGGTGCCTCGGCTACTGCTGTTGGGGCGGAAGGCTCCCCTGATGACGTTTCCGTATCCTTAGCAAGTTTGGCTCATCTGATCTCAGCCCATCATGTTTTTTCCATTGGGGGGGGGGGTTAATTTGTTAAGCACTTTGAGTTGCTTGTATTGCAGGATTTAAGTGCTATATAAATTAAGTTTGATTGTATCACCTGGGAACCCTTTAGAAGAACAACTTTCCCATGAGCCTCTTGGGCCAGTCATCTGCAGGTAATAGGATTATCTGTTCTCAGGGCAGGAAAGTGAACCATCGACTGTTCACCACCCTGAATGCAGTTTCTGTAAAACCATTGATTGACATTTTTGGGTTATATTTGTGTGCATAGAGGTGATTCATTACCTGCTGCTACACCTGTTTATTCTTGGCACCTCTATGTTGCTCCTGAAGGATTTTCATTTGGATGCAGGGACAAGCAGCCACAGCCTGAACATCATACAGGACAGAGGAGACGATGAACGTAAGTCGAGTCAATTAGTTGTCATTCCGAACTCTTATCGAAAGATTCACAAGAAGTAAAGTGATGTACAGTTGATAAAATGAGCGCAATATGACATGTTAAGCATAAAAGAATAACTAAAACAAGACAGTAGGGTGAAAATAAAAGAAAGTGTAAAAAAAGTTGTATAATATGTATATTTATACACTCTGCTAAAAAATAAAGGGAACACTTCACATTCTGTTGTGCAAATGGAATTGACAAAGAGTGGTGCTGCAGGTGGTGACCACAGACCACTTCTCAGTTCCTCTGCTTTCTGGCTCAAGTTTTGGTCATTTTGAACGATGGTGGTTATCTTCACTCCAGTGGTACCAGGACACCTCACAGTCGCATAAGTGGGACAGGTAGTGCAGCTCATCCAGGATGGCACATCAGTGAGCTGTGGCAAGAAGGTTTTCTGTGTCTGGGTAGTGTCCAGAGCATGGAGGAGCTACCAGAATACAGACCAGTATATCAGGAGATGTGAAGGAGGCCATAGGAGGGCAACAACCCAGCAGCAGGACTGCTACCTCTGCCTTTGTTCAAGGAGGAGGAGGAGGATTACTACCAGAGCTCTGCAAAAAGACCTCCAGTGGGCCACAAATGTGCATGTGTTTGCTCAAATGGTCAGAAACTGACTCCATGAAGGTGGTATGAGGCCCTGATGGCCACAGGCGTGGGTTGGTCTTAGCCCCGTACTGTGCAGAACATTTGGCATTTGCCAGAGAACAAGAATGGCAAGTTGTCCGCTGGCATCCTGTGATCCTCACAGATTAAAGCAGGTTCACACTGAGCACGTGACAGACGTAACAGATTCTGGAGACGTGGCAGAGAACGTTCTGCTGCCTGCAACATGATAAATGATCTGTACTTGTATAGCGCCTTTCAGAGTCAGAGGACTCCACAATGCTTTACACTACAATGTATTGTTCATCCAGGCACACACTGATGGTGATGAGCTACAATGTAGCCACAGCTGCCCCGAGGTAACACTGAGGCATGACTGGTTTGGCAGTGGGTCAGTAATGGTGTGAGGGGGCATTTCCTTTGGGTGCTGCATAGCCCTTCATGTGCTCACTAACAGTAGCCTGACTGCCATTAGACCCCTTGTGAGACCACATGCTGGTGCAGTTGGCCCTGGGTTCCTCCTAATGCAAGACAATACTAGACCTCATGTGGCTGGAGCGTGTCAGCAGTTCCTTCAAGACAAAGGCACTGATGCTATGACCCGTCCTTTCTCCAGTCCTGAATCCAAGTGAGCACATCTGGGACATCATGTCTCGCTTCATCCACCAATGTCCATTGCACCACAGACTATCCAGGAGTTGGTTGATGTTTTAGTCCAGGTCTGGGAGGAGATCCTTCAGGAGACCATCCACCTCCTCATCAGGAGCATGTCTGGGTGTTGTAGGGGGGTCACACAGGCACGTGGAGATCACACACACACACAACTGAGCCTCAGGTTGACTTGTTTTAAGGACTTTGCATCAAGGCTGGATCAGCATGTAGTGAGTTTAACACTTTAATTGTGAGTGTGACTCCAAATCCAGACCTCCATGGATTTGATTTCCATTGATGCTTTTTGTGTGATTTTTGGTGTCCGCACATTCAACTATATGTATATGTGTTTGTTTGTGTGTGTGTGTGTGTGTATGTGTGTGTAATAAAATAGATATTAAAAAAATGCATAATAAAAAAGAAAACTACTGTAATACCAGTCTTTTTACATATTTGACACAAGTATTAGATAAATGCAAAACAATCACATTTTTAGAATTGTTCAGCCTACAAATAAATGTATAAATAAAATAATTAAGAAAAAAAGACAGCTTTTAGGGTGTTAACCCTCATTTACAAACTTCTCTTTCACTCGTCTATCTGGGCTTCCCCCGTATCCAACGCAGAGCGTCTTTAAAGGCAACCTATGCATACTTCATTTTGCATGACACGTAAAAGTCGAGTAAGCTAGAACTTAAGAGACCAGCTGGTGTTTTCCAACTTTGACAGGAACCAGTCACAAGGAGCTGCCGGTCACAAGCTGGAGCGAGCTGCCCATCATCGAGCGAGTGGGGCTCAGCAGGTAACCGCATCAAAATTAAGATTTTATCTGGATTTCTAATAAAACCTAAACTATGTTTTCTGACAGTGTGGAAATGTCAGAAAAGGACTTGGAGGTAAGATTTGGAAACTTTGAAATTGACTTTAAAACATGCAAGATCACTTTTATTTTTCTGGAAATGAAGTAACTGTTGGTGGCGTCAGACAGCGTTCTCTCAGCTCTCCCTGGCTTTCCGCTGTGATCAGCACACGCTGAAGCAGAGGCTGCAGGCGGAGGAGCACGCCAGGAACCTGGCTGAGGAGAACATCCAGCTGGAGCTGAGCAGAGGCAGGGAGACTCTGGAGGTGGAACATCACAGCTGGAGCCAAAGTGCGTCACTTGTGAGACATCGGAGCTCTGAGGTTTTAAAGTTTATGTTTCTTGTAGACGCTGAAGGGTCTGTGTTTAGACCGTAAACGCAGCAGCATCCTGCAAAAACTGGAGCTGTCTCTGGACATCCTCAGTGGGACGGTGCGACGGATCTCCAACACAGCAGAGGTGCTCGGTGCTGTTCATCAGGTGCATAAACAAAAAATAAAACAGCTACTTTCTTCCACAGCCATGCAAGCAAGATCTCAGATCTCGCTCTGATCTTCTGGGCAGGAGGCTCGGGTTAGTTGGGCGGTGGAGCTGATGGTGGCTCATGTGGAGATTCTTAGGAGACATCATGACAGACATGAGGCAGAGCTGAAAGAAACCAAAAAGATGTTGCTGCAGCAGCAGAAGAACTTCTGCAGGAGCAGGACCTTCACAGGTTTATGTCCAACTTTTAGACTCTTTTGTCCCTGTTGCAAAATTTGACATTTGGTGTCTTGCTGCAGATTCAGAAGGGGACAGGAGGAAGAAAGACTCCAATCAAGTATGAAGATTTTGGTTTACTGATGAAAACATCTTCATGAAATCTGTGTCACCAAACCCTTTCCCCTCAGAGCATTTTACGCCGACGGATCAGCGCTTCCATCATTCCCAGCCAGACTCAGGTGAGGTTGTTTCCTCTGAATTCTTCTACTTCCTCTCCACCAAAGTCAGCATCACTTCCTTCCTCGCAGGAGAAGAAAAAACGAGACTCAAGGAAGAGGATCTCCTCCAGCAAGAAGCTGTCCCCCCAGTGCCTGTCTCCATCCCCGAGCTTGGACTCCAGCTGCTCCATGGACGACAGGTCAAATACAGATCCTAACCCATCCCCAATGTCCTGTTATATTTAGCATCAAGTGTGTTTCCTTCAGACAACAAGACCCAGATGGACCTGCAGAACCTCAGCTGGAACCATCTCGTAACCCTGAGACCCTCCCATCAGAGCAAGTGACCCCCATAAAGACACAAACCAAAAAGTAATGAGATTACTGCAATAATTACCAAGTCTCTGTTGTCATAGAGCAGGATTACCAACCAGAGAACATCTTTGATCTGAGCTATCACACAAGTATGTTGGTGTTTTTTAATTTTAGGCCCTTTTTTTTAAATTACAATCCATCTCTAGATGATTTGCAACAAAAACAAACGAGCAAATCAGCATCATCAAACAAAAAAAAGGGAAAACAGGTTTTGGACAATCACATGCAAAACTCTGTGATCCTGTAAGTAAAAACTGTGTTAAAATAAAAGTAAAATAGATATTTAATCTACTGACGGATGGTTTTGTTCAGATGTGGACGGCCGTGGAAGCTGCATCCTCTGACCCCGAGGTCATACCGATGCCAGTGGGTGCGAACCTGCAGCCAGCTGTTGGCGCTCCTCTGTGTCGTCACGCTGATGTGCTACTTGTGGAGACTTTATGACGGCGAGCTTGAGCTATGATCTGTCTTTTCTGCAAACTATTGTGTCTCTTTGTTTAATAAAAATAAAAATAAAGATGTTTTTTATCACATTTTGTCTGAAATACTTAAGAACTAAAATTCTCTTTATTAAACAAATGTAAGCTTTAAATGTTTATTATAAACATACAAAAGTTATTAAAACATATACATTTAAGTGGTTAGTAAGAAAACACCACACTGTAAAGTTATCAGTGATTAAATATTGAGTTAAACGTTTAAACAATAATAAATGTTCAGTAGAGTCTAAGAAATGAGCTTTAGGTTTGCTAAATGAGAGCAACTTCAAATAAATATAGACAACAATTATATTAAAAATTGAAAACTTATATGAGAACAAAAGCAGTTGTGTGCAAAATGTGTCCCAGCCACAAAACAACGTGAAATAACAGCAAACTTAAGGTCCGTTCGACACATTTGTCAGACGAATGAACCTAAAATCTATTCTGAGAAAACCTAAAATAAATAATAGTGGTTAAACGTCCTTACTTATAAGTTAAATACCAATCTGGTACCATTAGGTCCAAGTTTTCTGCATCATGTCAGTGAAGAATCTCACAGAAAGTCCAGCATCTTCATAAATACAGATAAATAATCAAGAACGATTCTCAGTGTTACACCTGGCTCACGATTTCTGCATCCTCAGCCACAAACCACTGGACCGGAGTCCCGTCCGCAGCTCTCTGAAGGATCACATTACCCGAACCCTGTGGGTTAAAAAGTCATTCATGATTAATAAATGAAGCAGGTTTCGATCCATATGAAGGTAACATGTTGGTTCCAACCTGTTCAAATGGCGGCAGGTGTGGTGAAGTTGGGCTCAGCAGCTCTCCGCAGCTCGGCTGAAGCTTCTGATTCCGCTGATGCCAGGACTTCAGCTCCTCTGACACCATTTCCCGGGGCATCAGCCTGACAGCGTGGTTGGGATACTCCCTCAGCGAAGGCGTCCTCACCAGTCTGTTATAAGGCGGAGGGGGCTTTAGGATGCTCCTCGGGGAAGATGCTCTTCTTTGCTGGCTGTGAGCCACAGGAAGGGGAGACAGGGAGCCCTCTTCGCTGATCTGGCCAGAGCCAGAATGAGGCTGGCCGCTGCTCTTGTGCAGCTCTTTATTCTGCGCTCCGAAGTGGAATCCATAAGGCGGAGGGGAGAGCTTGGGGATCTCAGAGGGTCTGCTTCTTACAGGAGAGCAGATGTAAGAAGAGGATGAGTGCTCAGAGCTGCTGTCCTCTGATCTCGACTGGTAGGGACGAGGGGGCGAGGACTCTGGAGAACACACCGGGGCGTTGGAGTGAGGAACCCCGAGGCGCTCCATTTCAACAAACAGCTTCTTTTTGGAAGTTCTGAGAAGACACAGAGGGAACCTGTGAGGAACATCCCACGTATTGTTTACCATTTCAGCTCCTCCAGTTCTAGCTGGACTTTTCTGCGTACCTGAAGGACTGGGAGTACTGTCGGCGAACAAGCAGCTTTGGTGTGGAGGGGGCACTGGTAGAGTGGGTGTGACGCATTGCAGAGTTCCTGACAAACTGAGTGAGAGGAATCCTGCAACTTTCTGCAGACACCTGTGTTCCTGCGGGACTACTACACACACACACACACAAAAAAACCTATGAAATACACAAATCAGGGTGTTGACATAATGAGGTATGATGAAACATCTGCCTCTTACCTGGATCTGCTCTTGCTGGGAGACAGAAGTTTTAAGGCCCGTTGGTATGGCTGGTCCAGACTGGACTCTTTCCATGGAGAGTTCTGGATGGGAGAACGCTTGTACTCCACACTGCTCAGCTCTGAGGGCTGATGGGACGACTGCAGGGTCTTATCTGACAGATGGAGTGTGTCTGAACAGGAAGTGGCTGGAGGTGACAGGGGGCACGAAGAGTCCACATCTAAGAAGAGTCAGAAAACAATAAGACTATTACCATAATAACATCTCAACTGGACACATAAAAGCTAATTTAACATTAAATAGATCTTACTTTTACTGGCTTTTCCACAATCATATTTCAAATTCCCTCCACTCCTCAGATCTAGCCTATGCTATTTAAAATATTTACTATATAATGCATTTATTAGATTAAAAGACCAACTCACCCTCATCCAGAGCCACCACATCAGAGAGGGAGCTGTCGTCAGACATGCAAACATCTGCACAGAAACGACTTAATGAACATCAGCCGTGTTACCTTGATTGGCCTGGAGGGGGCAGCAGCGCCTCTTACCTTTACTTTGGCTGCTTGAGATGGAGATGGCTGGTGAGTTGCACTCACTCTTGACTCTGTGCTGGAACACTGCCTCCTGCAGATCCTTCAACTTCTTCTCCTCCTTCTTGCACTGCTGCAGACGACTCTTCTTCTGTGGTTTAGTGAGATTCTCCTCGAGGGAGAGTTTGCGTACAGCCTCATAAATCTGTTGATGGACCGCCAGGTCAGTCTCCAGTGCTTGCAGCTCAGAACCCTGCAATTAAATAAAAGTCTTACATTCGTTTTAAACAAAAAATTATAATTCTGCTCATTTATGTTCTTTATACTTGTCAAACCTGTTGATCCTGGAAGATCAGGCCTTCGTCCAGTTTGAAAGAAGCCCCGATCCTCCTTCGAACTCGAGGTGGCTTGTCATCAGGCATCAGGGGGTAATCTGAGGGAAGTATGCCCGTCAACTCCTACGGAGACAAAAACAGATGATTAAACAACCTGAATGTAGTCGTAACCATTCATTTGAAGGTTCTATAAGGCCCGTGGACTGGTGCAGGGTTTTGGTGAAGCAGCATTACTTACTGCCTCTTTGATGCAGAGTTTTCGAAGCTCAAGCAGGCAGAGCTCCAGACGCTCCTCTAGAGCCTGGTGCTTCAGCTTCAGAGCTCTGGTGTGTGTCAGGTGGTCCTTCACTGGCGACGTGGGGCTTTCTGGACCTTGAATTAAACACACACCCTCATTATAACAGATGTGCCTAAAATCTGTCCCTGCCTGCAGGATGCATCATCACATGAGCAGCATCTTAACCCTCTTAGGCTCAAAATAAGTTCTGATAAAAAGACAAACAACTAAGTCCTTCAGGGGAACTTCTGAGTTAAAAAATGCTCATGAAACACGTATGTGGAGTAACCAGGTAGGTAGGTTTTAACTGTTGCAAATCTGCAACGCCTGCCTCCAGAGGGTTAAACTGGAACTCTGCTGCTTATGCAGTATTAAAAATAAATAATCCTTAGTTATGGATTTGTTTATTCATTTTATTTGTTCTCTTGTCGATTGTTGATATTCTGACCTTTGCTGTACGTGTTGAATAAAAACAGTACTTTTCATTACAATGTTAAAAGAAAACAATTTTTTATGTAATAAATCAAATGTAATAAAAAAATCTGAGTTTTGTTTTTGTGTAAATGCATTGCTGTTGGACAGCTGGGGCTACATATTGTCTTGTTGTGATTTGAATCATTAAATGTATTTAACCCGTTGATGCATAATGGTCACTACAGTGGACAGGTACTCAAAATTGTTATTTATTTATTTTTGCTATTAAGCACAGCTGTTGAAGACTTTATTGCATGTGAGCCCCTCCATTTGTACTTCAGTGAGTCAAGCCAACATATTTCATGTTCAGAATGCACGCTGTCCACTGAGGTGGACATGTAATAAACTATGTGTAAATTAAATGTTACAAAAAATGTGTAAATATGAAATTTGTTTCATTCACACCTAAAGATGAATGAAAAAAATTGTTTAAAAAATCATGGTTGAAGATTTCATAATTCATGCATCAAAGAGTTAATATCCGACACCAAGCTATCAGTAGCAGACTCATTAAGTCAGACATGATGCCGGTGTTTTAATTACCAGAGTGCAGGATGATCCCACTGTCTGTGTCACTGATCTCCTCTTTACTCTCCACACTCGTCATCTTGACTCAAGTTTTTATTATTACCTGTTGGAATAATAAAAAAATCAGATTAGTAAAATAGTAAATAATCTGTGTGTGTTTCTCCAGCCACATGGCTTCACACACACACCACCCCCACTGCTTTACTTAACAAAAATGTGTGACTGGCGGCGGGTGCTTCTTTATTAACACCCTTTATCCTTGCACCCTCCTCCCCCCACCTCGTTTTCTCTCCCATGCCTGATCACAAAAGATGCACACCCCCGTGGCTGACTCGGCACATGTGCGGGGTTAATCTGAACCATGACGCCATGGCAACGGGGTGCGGGGCGGCTGGCTATTGGGGAGTGTGTCGCCCGGCAAGGCGTATCAGAGGGGCATTTAAAAAAGAAAGCAGATGGCAGCAAGAATGACCCCCGACTCGTGGACTGCACCTGTTCCCCCCCTTGTCCCTTAGCTTCTATTCAACTAGTGTCCAGGGTGTCCTCTGGGGACTTTGAAGTGGAAGAATGTCTCAATGCTGGGTTTGTCCCTGCAGCACCCCTGAGG